CATTTTGTGGGGCTCACACTTTTTGAAGAAAAAAAAAACTACGGCACGCAAAATGAATCTCTATAACTTTACACAATCATTTTTTCTACAACATAACTCTTATAAAACCCATTATATATACACTAGGAAATGATATAGTCAAGTAAACAGGGCAAAGTATTACGTGTACTTGGTAGAAGAGAAGTATCGGATTAGTTCCAAGGGTTAGTAAATACATTTCATAAATGTGCTACATGCCCCGTTGTCCTAATACTAATTAAATTAATAATGGCTTATCAGCCTATGTTTGTAAGACCATCGGATGATTAAGTAATATCTGTATTAACGGCTTAAATTTAAGCTATATAAGCTTTTTTATTTTTGTAATTATATATCTATTTTTCTAAATACATTATAGACTCTCCGTTGTGTAGTTGAAACACATGGAATACTTATAAATCTCTTTGTTCTTGATATTCAACACGGTATCTAGAGCCTAACAAGATCTGCATCTTTCTTGTAGACCCACTGTCTACAGAGTAAAAATCTTCCCGAAAATTGTCACCGTCATCAGTTTTCGACCACCGTCTGCCGCCACCGTCCTCCATCGAAAAAGTTTTCTGGCGACCGTTCTGATCAAAAAGTACATCAACGGACTCAGAAGAAGCCGATCTACCCAACGCCGCAAGACCCACCGTCATCAGAGGTTGCCAGCGCCGTGGACCACCGTTTGACCGCCACCATCGATCATTTTTCTGGCACTTTTTCTAGCGAGTCACCCATAGTTGTGATCGTCACAAGGAGGCGGTTCTTTCCGTCCAAGGCCAGCTCCCAAATTCCCACTGACGCACCCTCACGTGCGTGAAACATACGCGCGACTTCCACGATCAGGATCGCCCCTCTCCTTCTGTGTTCAGATCGATCCTTGCCTTGTGGGTTTGAGTCCTTTGCGGCCCTTCCGAAGCATTTCTCCTCTTTCCATTACTCAGTTAAAACAACATCTCAGTTATCATTTTCAGACAAAGGATCTCGGAAGACTACGATATTTCTTGGGAATTGAAATGGCTCAATCCAAGGATGGTATTGTGAAATTCCCGAGGAAATATGCTATGGACATTCTAGAGGAGACAACTTTGTTGAATGTTAAGCCCGTCGATACCGCCATGGATCCAAATGTCAAGCTTATGCCAAATCAAGGGGAGACATTTTCAGATCTAGAAAGGTATAGAAGATTAGTTGAGAAACTGAACTATCTTACAATTACTCGACCGGACATCTCATTTGCAATCAGTGTAGTAAGTCAGTTCTTGAATTCTCCTTGTGAAGATCATTGGAATGCAGTGATCCGCATCCTCAAGTACATCAAGAATGCTCCAGGTAAAGGTCTCCTCTATAAAAACAAAGGTCATACCAGAGTTGAGGGATACTCAGATGCTGATTGGGCAGGTTCCTCCGGTGATAGAAGATCCACATCTAGGTATTGTGTATTCCTTGGAGGTAACTTGGTTTCTTGGAAAAGCAAGAAACAAAGTGTAGATGCCAGATCAAGTGCTGAAGCAGAATATCGCTCCATGGCCACAACCACATGTGAACTTATCTAGTTAAAACAACTATTGAAGGAACTCAAATTTAGAGACATTGGCACAACATCTCTCATTTGCGATAACCAACCTGCTTTACATATTGCTTCCAATCCAATGTTTCATGAAATGACCAAGCACATTGAGATAGACTGTCATTTTGTTAGGGAAAAAGTCCTCTTTGAAAATATAGTCACTAGTTTTGTTAACACAACTGATCAATTAGCTGATGTTTTCACTAAGTCTTTGAGGGGGTCTAGGATAGAGGAAAAGGTTCAAAAATATATAAAGGGAAAAATGTTTATCCTTTTAAATGATACAACTTGTGTTATTTCACTCTCACAAAGAAGTGAGATTCATACCTTTATTTTTTTGTCAACTCTTTCTCCTCCTTTATCTATCTCTTTCTCTCTTTTAAAATGACATAATTTTACATCTTTTAAAATGACACACATTTTTCCCATATTGTTTCTCTCTATTAATCTTTCTATCTCTTTTTTTCATTTATGTGTGAATTAACATTAATGAATTACCTTTATTGAAGTAGGCACCAAAAAAAGCCAGAATCCCCCCCTCTCTCTCAAATTATGTTTGGAATCAAATATTTTAGAAATTGATTTAATTTTAAACTTTACTTTTTTACATTTTTTTAGACTGGAAAATCTTTTCAAATTTAGTTGGATTTGACATAATTTTAGTTTTTATAGTTGAAATTAACACTGTTTTTCCATGTTAATTAAACACTTATCTTTCCATATTAAATTTTATGTGCAACTGGTTATACATTTTTTTCCATATGCATCTTATTGCAGTATTTCGAAAAGTTAATTTTAAATCTACATTATGTGAGTAATTTATTTTTTAAATTTATGTTAATAATATCATTTTACCATCGATTGTAAGTGATTCCTTACCGATTTACAAACCTTATTTATACAAACATGTTTAGTGCAAATTCTAATAGTGGCAATATTTTTTTTATATGGAAAGTAATTAAAAATGAAAACTTCTGCCTAACATACAAAATATTTAGATATTACGTCTGTAAAGAACCAATTTAACTCAACACCTTAAGGTTTTGAGTTGAATTAATTCTTTACATTGTATCAGAGTTTCGGTATCACAGGTTCGATCATCACCGCTTCTCACTAAATTAATAATTAATTAAGTCTTGTAGAATTTCTTAGTACAAACAAGCCGAGCCTGATGTATCATCCACTCTTCAAGTCCAATGGATTCTCGTGTGAGGAAACATGTTAAAGATATATAAAAACCATTAATATAATCTTACCCAATAACTTAAACTTTTGGGTTGAATTGATTCTCTTCAATATCAAATCACAATTCAAATGGAAAATTTAATACCCATAACAACAAAATGATTAATTGCCCAGGTATTTGAATATTCACACTAGCAATTTTATATTCAACCATTAGTTTAACTTTAATTATTTTAGTTTAGGTTTGGTTCAGTTAATTTAACTTAGTTAGGATTCTCTTACTTTGTAATCTTTTGACATCAGTATTTGAACATTTTACACTTGACCTTTACTAACTTTTCTTTGAGTATAGTGAAAGCTATGTTTTATTCCTTTCTCTTTTATCTCTTCCTTGCTATGATTTCTTATCTGCAAGATGGTATCACTTGAAAAAATTTCACTGCTTCAGCTCTGATTTGCCCCCCTCCCTTATTAGATGACTATTGCGCATTTGTAAGCATTTCATTAACTAATATTAATCAGCTTGGTTTTTAAGAATGTTATTTTGACATCAACTTCAACAGTTCAAAAAATAAATAAATTAGAAGAGTAATAGTAGGATAGGATCACAAATCACAACAAGTCAACAATAGATCCGCGAAAAACAGATTGGGCTGCAGGGCACCGGATGGCCAATTGTCTTTCAAATCAATGGCCTGCCTCATTGGGATTATAAGACCTGTTTGGATGAATTTTTTTTCAGCCAATAGTTACTCTCTTTTTTTTTAGAATTTTTTTTTTATTTTTTACTATAAAGTTTATTTGTATGGCTGCTTTTAAAAAAAAATAAAAGTCATAAAAGAAGCAAAAAATATTTTTTTTTAAGTTAAAAATTTTAGCTTCTAAAAAAAATTATAAGTCAAAAGTCAATTTTTTTTTTCAAAAGTCAAATATTTTTTCAAAATATAAATAACTTAATTGTTATATAAAGTACTTCTAAAATAAGCAAGATATAAAAAACACTTCTTTCATCAGCCCATCCTGAATTTTTTTTAAATAATATGCTTTATTTATTTCGATGGAGCAGTTCTTGATCTTGTTTCCTTCCCTATTAAGTCTTTGTAGTAAGGTGGCAAATCTATAAATTGTAAATTGTAAAACTTAAAGAATGTCTATGAAAATATCTAAAATTCTTGTTTTGCAGGGAAATGGTTACACTATTGGGTTTGGTACCTGCTCGGGTTAGATTGTTCCCTCAGGTCAGCTCCCAGAGATCAGTATTATTCCATGCTCATTTCCAGTTGTGGTGGAAGTTATTGAAGTTGTACAATCAGGAAGCTGGTCTCCTTTCCAAAAGTGTTTTTTTTTTTTTTTTTGTGTGTGTGTGATTTACTCAGCGCTTGACAAAGGACAGACACTTTAATAAACTTTTATGAGGCTCATAATTCTCTTCTCTGGGGATTTTTTTTTTTTTTTTTTTTTGTACTTCCGTAACACCTAACTCTGTGCATCTTCTTTTTATGTAGAGAAATTTTTATTTAATTTTTATTTTTTTTTCTTTGAGTCCTCATATTTTTTTTAGAGTCATGTACCATATATCCGTAGCACAGAAAAATATTTCCTGGGCTGTAGTATGGATCAAACATGAGATAAACTAATAATCGAACTTCACAAGTCATAACGTTCACCTAGGACATATTTTATAAGATTAGTTATTATAAGCTGTTACTTTATAAAATCAGCTAAGTGCTTGGAAAACTTGACACAAGATTCTTATGATGAGTGGATGGTTTTCAAATGCAGACTTCCAACAAGTTATACATTTCTCATCAAACCGTTATTGCGATGGGCAAGCATGACCTTTTATTCATACATAATTGTAAAGCATTCACTTGTGCACCGGATCAACGACAATATGAACATTGATTATTTTAGATTGACTAGTAAGGTGTCACAGCAGACAACGGTGGTGTCGAAAAGAGAAAAATATTGAAGAACCATAGCGGGCCATTAGCTGACTATTAGCACCAATTAAAAACCCGTTTTGTTATTCAGTTCAATCTCAAAAATAAATATTTGATTAATTAATTATGTATCGATGATAATTGGTCTCAGGATTTGAATTTAAACCTGAATCAAAGTCTTTTGTCTTAAAGCAAACGCGGGGTCCCACATCAAACGAAAGGTTATCATCTCATCACACAACACCTAAGCACTTTAAGCGCCAACAATATTCAAGGGAAGAACAGAACCCCCACCGAGAAACAAAAACCATTTCCTATAATCTTATCTGAGGTTTCAGCCGACACTGTCTGCAATCTCTGACTCCCAAATCATCCTTTTCCCATGAAACCCTCTTCCTCTTCCAATTCAACTTCAACCACCGTCACCTACACCTACCACAATGACCACTCTGCCCCTCCTCAAAACAGCAATTCCACAAAACTCCCTTCCCCATCTCAATCCAACGCCGCAATCACCATCCAATCCACCTACCGTGCACACAGGATCCGCACCCTCTACCGCATAATCGCCACCGTCGATTCCGAAGCCGATCACCTACAGCGCCTGATCCAGCGGCAGGACACGGTGGACGCCGTGCGCACCAACCAACTGGAGAAGGTGAGAATAAACGAGGCGCTGATGGGTCTGTTGCTGAAGCTTGATTCGGTGCCAGGGATTGATCCAACGGTGAGGGAAGGCCGAAGAAAGGTAGCCCGTAGGATCGTGGGGCTGCAGGAGATACTGGACTCTGTTTCAGAAGCTAAGGTTGATGAATGCAATTGGTGGTCCATCAGAAATTGGGATGATGTGGATGAAAATGTTTGTAGGGAGAAAGGTAGCAATGAGTTGGAAAGGTTTTGTGCTCAATATCTAGGCTTTCCCTGCTTACAAAGGTTTCTTCGTGAACCCTGATTTACCCTTTTATCTATATACTTATTTGTAGTATAATCTCTATCTTATACCTACCTTAAAGCTTTGTGCTTTAGCTAGCTATATCAAGTACAAGGCAGTGAAATGAAATTAACATGGCCTAAAGTAATTAAGATAGCCTTCGATAATGAAGGGACTTGAATTTCAAATTACTAGCACGGAACAGATCACAGATGATGGTAAATTTAGAACAAGTGCAAGATCCATATATATATAGTTATACATAGTAGGGAGCTAAAACGAGTAATTAAGAGAAATAGATAGCGTGATAACTGATAATTAGGTGCTAGTTGAGGCAGGTGCACTTGCACTTGGACATGCATCTCTTGCAGTCAGAGAGTGTTGGGTAGCTATTGTTGCAGTCGCATTTCTTGATGCAATAGGACCTTGAACTGCCATCCCACAAGCACCGAGCCATGCAGTGTAGGATTGACATGCAAGATGGACAAGCGTTTTTCATCTGGTTTACTATGCAGTCTTTGCAACCTCTGCCATCTGCGGGTGTGCAACCCAGTGTAGGTGAAGCCACCACCATCATAATCAGCAACAATGCTTGTACTTGAGCTGCCATTATGTGCTTCTTCGCCTTCATTTCAACCACCACAGTATTTTTGTTTGTAGAAATGCTCTTAACAAAATACTACTTCTTCATATATAAAACTGTGGCACACATTAAGATACACACATAAGGCATCGGAAGTGAGGAAGCATTTAATTTCTCGGCCGACCTTGTATTAAACACCACATTTACTCTTGTAAGACTCTGGCAGCCCGAGACTCTCTTGGTTTGCACAATACCGTATCAAAGGATGCGCATGGGTCGAATCGAACCGGACTTTTTTGAAAAATCGAACTGAATTGGTTTAAATGGTTCGGTTCGGAAGTGGTTCGATTTGATTCAAAATTGATTCGGTTCGAAAATGGTTCAATTCGGTTGGAAACGGTTCGGTTCGGAATCGGTTTGAGTCGACCCTCCTTTGAAAAGAAAAAAAAAATATATAAAAAATAAAGTTATAAAAATCAATTTGATTTGATTTGAAAATGGTTCGGTTCGAAAACGGTTCGGTTCTTACACTGGTTCTAAAAATCGGTTCGGTTTATGAACTGGTTCTTTAAACTGGTTTGGTTCATGAACTGGTTTCTAAAAACTGATTATTTTAAGGGAAGGGACAGTTCGGTTCATGGTTCGATTTAGTTTTTTTGGTTATTTTGCACCCCTAACCGTATCTCATGGCTATCCTTAAAGCAAACTGAGTGAATCAATGCAATGCTAGTCAAAACATATGGATTTGTTTATATAAAAAAAAAAACATATGGATTTGTTAGATAATTTCCCCAAACAAGTTAGCAGATTCTTGAGTATTAAATAATTATTGAATTTTATTGTAATATTTTGTGTTTTTTTTTTCCTTTAAATATTATCCTAAAAAATTCATTGATTCATATTTTTCACATTAAATATTTTGTGTGTGCATAGGAATCAAAGCTCAATGCTCTTAGCTAATGAACAGAGTTACAAATAGAGGATTTTATATAAAGTTAGTGTATTATTGATCTTCGGTGCACCAAGTTAGTAAAGTTTTTTATTACAAAAAAAAAAAAAAAAGTTAGTAAAGTTTTAACATATAATGAAAAATATAATTGTTTGTTTATTTTTTCAAGAGATAAGAATTATCATACTGTGATAGTGAAATGACTCTGAATAAATTGTTGAGATTTGAGAAAAATATAAACTTTAATTCTTTCAATTATTATTATTTCAAAATTGTCTCAAAATTGTAGGGCCAAATGTAAAGCTTAAAATGAGATCAGTCCAATGTTGCTTCTACGTAGCATTTAATCGAACAAGTAGGTAGCATAGGCTAATGTTCAGTGAAAAAGAAATTAAAAATTCCCTTCACCATTAAAGCAAATAGAATTCTAGCAATGCAAATAAAGAGAAAATAAAATAAAATATGATGTTGATATTACAACACGAAAAATTTGCCAAAGAAATAGACACGCCAAAGATACATTTTGAGTGTCTCCTCCACATGATCAATTGTGCTAAAATCAAGTGATTTTGAACCCGTCCATTGATGGCTATGGTTGTTTTGAGCTGTTTTGACTTCAACAGGAAGTCTCAGTGTCGAATTATGGATGTTTTGACTTTATAAGGCCTTAGGCACTCTCATCCTTAGAGCTAGCTTTTGGAGTGGTATATCCCAAGGCTTTTTACATGGTATCAAAGTCTCACTGTCCCCCGCTTAAAAAAAAAAAAAAGTGGAATTAAAATAAATAAAAAAAGCACAAAAAAAGATAAATAAAAAATAGGCCTGTGCAATTTCCACGCTTCTAGCCTAAAGTGCTCTTGCGTGAGGGAGCGTGTTGAGATATATAGTCCCACATTGATTGGATGGGCAACTAATATGACCTTTAAAAGGCCTTGAACATTCTCACCCTTTGAACTAGCTTTTAGAGTGGTGTGACTCTTCTTAGTGATTTCAGCCGTGAATTCATCATGGTGGATGACCTTTCTTAGTGGGAGTGGGTGATTTCCTTTGATGTCGGAAATAGAGTTATTTTATTGAGAGATGTCCTTTGGGATAAGAAAAACTGAGGGGATTTGGTTTTATTTTTTATTTTTTCTCTTCAATGGTAGAGGACTGGAAATCTCTTATAGGGCTTTACAAGTGAAAAATGTAGAGGATTTTATTTTAAAGGAAGAAAACCAAAAGAAACCTCCTGTGAGTTTCGAGAAGATTCTATGTTAGTGATTCAAAACATTTGTCCTTAAGTGCCAAATTACGACAATGCTATTATATTATCCCCTTTATTTTCTATTATTGTAATTTTTTAATTTTTATACCATTGAGTTGGGTGAAGGGTTTTTGGGCTATATTTGATTTATATCTAGATCATTCTTCTTTTTTCTTTTTATTTTCTTTACAACGTGGACAAAATTGAATGTTGACACAAAGACTTGTTTTTACTTTCTAATCTGGATCTAATATATGTGAGATAGAGATCCAATCCAATAAAAGCTTAGAACACCCAAGAATCATCAAGCTTGACCAACAAGACAATTCATCCATCTTGCATACATACAGCAGGAATCTCGCCTACTTGACTTGCAAGCCAAAGTAACTTAACATGAAAGAAAACATCATTGTCAAGATTAGCAACTCAAGCAACTTGACCACCACAAGAACCCAAGGCAGCACAAGCTTGCCACTAAATCTACAAAGACTAGCATGTCCATAGGTTTTTTGACCAAGGAATAGTCCATGAAGGGCCATCATTCTCCACCAATGAAAATGAACATCGTCTTATAAAAGGTGGCATGAAGCAAGACATTTTACACTATAAATACAGAGGTATTCAGTTCAAGTAAGATATCTATCTTTGAATACTTGAACCACTTTGAATATTGAACTGACTTAAACATCAGGATGCCTTGCAGGTACCCCTTCCAGTCTCCTCCAAATTGCTCAGATATCAATCTCGTGACTTTCCCATCTCGCCAAGCAACTCAACATCCCGACAAAACTCTACTCAATCTTGTTCCTCTTCATTAACATCTTTTATTTTTAACCGTATGTGATCAGCCCAGCAGCGTAATATTTGTTGGGCTCATCACTTTCTAAATTTTATATTTATACATCTCGAATTTACATAAATATAAAGCATCTGTCAGGCCTAATTTTTTTATTTTATTTTACAAGGTATTTTCCATACTTTAGGTGTTAGACTAAATCTAACATGAGGGCCAATGTATCAAAAAAAAAAATCTAACATGGGGGCTCCACTTGCCGCTCTGTTGATTTTCCTCTGGCCTTATGGTCCATTCAATTTCAAATAATAGGAGATAGAATTGAAACAGAAATCCTAATTATATAAAGGGTTTAAGGTTAGTTATATTGTAGGAGATAAATTTATTATATATATATATATAGTTTTAATGTTTTTACCGTGAATGTAGATAAATTATTTACATTCACTCTTAAAATGATGTCATTTTGGATTGAAAAATTAAAAAATTATAATGAAAAATATTATTATAACCCTAAATAAATTATAATTATAAAAATACCTTAATTTTTGCCTTAAAACGATGTTATTTTGGACTCAATGTAGATAAGTTATTTACATTGAATGTAAAAAAAATGAACCCGATATATATATATATATATATATATATATATATATATATATATATATATATATATATATATATAAAGGTTTTAATGTTTCTACAGTGAATATAGATAAGTTATCTACATTCGCTCTCAAAACGACGTCGTTTTGAGTTGAAAAATTAAAAAATATAATGAAAAAGACTATTATAATCCTTAAATAAATTATAATTATAAAAACACCTTGATTTCCGCCAGAAACAACGTCGTTTTGGGCTCAATGTAGATATGTAGATAAGTTATCTACATTGACTGTAGAAAAAAGCGAACCCAAATATAAAAGTGTGTGAGACTTATATTTTTTCTTTCTTTTATTTCTACACATGAATCTCATATATTCTTATGCATGTGTAGAAGATAAATTTATCTCCTGTAATATATTATGAGAAATATTAATGCCTTATATAAAATTTGTAACTAATTTTTTTCAAAATAATAATAAAAAACGGAACAGAACCATTAAGTTAACGCAGTCTGTTTCTTTCTAAATCAGCAATTTAAATTTATTCTCCATTCATGGCTATTTGTATACGTTGTAAAGTGTGTCGACCCAACTCGAAGGGACGGTATAGTTGGTAAGCGAGGTGTTCTTGCAAGTTGCAAAGCATACTCTTGTGGCTAAAATATTGCCGGTTCAATTCCTAGACAAAACATCTTGGGTCAGTGATAAAAAGTTTTACCGTTTATATCATGAAAGGGATTAGTCTCTTACAAATAAGTGGAGACACATATGAGAAACCTAAAAACTAAAAGAGTGTCAATTAAAAAAAATATTATTTTATGAATTTTATAATATTATTAATTTCCATTCCATACTTTCGATTATTTTTTTCCATACAAAATCTAAATATATTTAAATATTCTGTCAAATATTATTCAGGAACTCATTTTGTCTCCATATATCAATAATTATTATTATAAACAGAGTATTTTCTTTTTTTCTTTTTTATAGAGAAATACTAAGGTAAAATTTTAGATAAAAAAAACTTGATAAATAATATATGACTTCATATTACAAAAGAAATGACCTAACAGATCAACCCCTCCCGCGACTCACAGATTCAAATAAATTTATGGGTCGGAAATCCTAACTCAATATGCCATTTACGGCTGGTAAGATGTCCTAATCCCAACTTAAAATTGATTGAAAATGTACTTGCGGATCTGGATCATCTGCAATTATTGCAAAATGTGTCTTTATTTGCAGTTTCCTAACATTGCATTACTCAGCTTCTCACATGAAAACAGGGAAAGCTACATTGCACACACCCTTCAGAAACTCAATCAAAGCAGAAATCTCTCTTGTTGCCTTCTCATAAACGTGACATCTAACAAGAGCCGGCAAAAACAGCCACAACGCCGTGTAGAATACAAACACCAACGTGAGGGGCCACGACAGCGCCCTCGGCAACTGCCATTTCCCTTTAAGTGCTTTCTTGAGGGCAACCTCAAGAGCCAAACACACCCCATGAATAAGGAAGAAGCACGTGGCATCCCACGAGGGTTCCCAAGCCTCCCACGTGCGCTTTTCCCTTTTGATGTAGTAGAAAGTGAGCTCGTGCATCATCGCTGACACGGCAAAAGTAGCAAGTATAGCGGGTAGTGGAGCCCACTTTCGACCAATGACACGACTAGAAACAGTCACCACCGGATCGTATACGCTCGGGTACAGGATACGATTCACCATGATGTTCCATCTTTTCCCCCAGAAGTTTTGAAGAGATGTGCATAGATAAGGCTCGTCGAACTGTGGCTCCAGCTCAACCCCGAGAATTTTTCGAGTGAATTGAGAGACCAGTGCAAAAATGAACTCAAGGCCAATATACATGTGGATGCTGTACAAGAACAACTTGAACTTTGGATGGAAATTTTCATTCTTTCCAACGAGAGGAATCAAAAAGGCCAATATGGTAAACATAGTGGCATAAACATAGCTGAGGGGAGATTTGTGGGCCTTTCTGTCAATTTGGGGAGATGGGTAGTTTCCATTTTGTGTATTTGGTGTCTTATTGTTGTTGTTGTTATTGGGTTTGTGTTGAAATTTGATGGGGAGGCATGCAAGGGGAACGAAATGAGCTAAAGAAAGAGGAGGGTTGGATGAGAGTGGACCCTTGCCAAAGGCAAAAAGGAGGAGCTTGAAGGTTGAAAGCCAACCAAGGAAGAAAGAAGAAGGACCTCCAAGGTGGATAGAGATGAGCCTGAGAGGGAGGAGGAGGAGGAGGATTATGGCAGGTGAGATGGCTATGAATCTAATTGTACCTTTTGAGATTAGCTTGCCAATTGTGTGGCAGTAACACATTGCTGCTGCAGCTATGGTCCATACCATGATCAAATTGCTGATTTCTCCATCCATCTCCATCTACCATTCATCCACCTACTCCTCCCCCCTTTGTTACTTGTTAAGGGGTAGATTTAGAAATTAGAACGCCTCTTTTCTTTACTAGGTCAGCGTGAACTGATGCAATGTGTAATAGTAACTTATTATGGAGAAACATATTTTTATTTTACTGGAAAAAATGTTTAAAAAAAGTTTATTGTATAATAAATTAATTCAAGCCGGCATAAAGTAACATTGACTCAAATCTAAAGGGCAAAGAGGTAGTAAAATCACACTTACCTCAGCAGTGCAACACGTCCTAACAGCATTGGCCCAGTTGTGGCTAGAGCCAAATATATAACGAAGGAGCTAGACAATTTTGTGAGAGAAATTCAATTTTTTTTTTTTTGAAATATTTCAATCGGTTCATCGGTTCGTGATTAGTCCGATTTGAGGCGGATTCCGAAATTAAAAAATTTAAAATTTAAATAACGTAAGTAAGGATAAAATAGTGTTTGATAAACATTTAGTTTATCTTGTTTTATAGACTAAATTTACATGCATTATCAAGTCAAATAGGTGAAAACTAGAATTTATTAATATAAAAACATGAATTAGTTGAATTATGAATTAAATGATTGATGTTTGCTTATTTTGAAGGTAATTGATATCAAAGGGAAGCAAATATAAAGTTTAAAGATGTAGAGATCAAGAACTTGAAGACATGAAGATCTCAAGTGTAAAAATAGAGGAAATCATGATTCTTGAAGAGGAGGCTTAAGCTTCCATTTCGAAGCTAAAGCCCCAAGATCACTAATTATCTCTGCCTAAGAGAGCTTAAGCACCCAACTCAGGATTTAAGCGCGCTACCTATAAAGAAATAACACTTCGAAGAGGACGCTCATCACCGCGCTTAAGCATCCTATGTAAAAATTGCATGTTTGTCCCAGAGCGCTTAAACGCCTAACAGCGCGCTTAAGCGCCCATCACGATCCAACTTAGGCCAAATTAAAGGTCTCCACGTAGGGCACGAGTTCTTTATCCATAAAAGGAAAAATTGCAGCAGAATTCATTATTATTGACGATTGGAAGCAGAGGAAACAACCAGTTCATGTTCGTGAGAGTCGAAGACGGATCGGAATCGAGTCTCCTATGAAATTATTGAATATTTGAGACAAATATGATTTTTTTTAAAGCACTGCATGTAAGATTATATATTTTTCCCAAAAATGAAATTGTAAGGATTATTGTTATATTGTATTATGTTTCGTTATTTTGTCATATACTATATTTTTTTAATTTCACCCGTTTGTTTAAATATTTGCAGGAAAAATGAGATCAAATGAGTCTATGGTTTTAACAAAATAAATTTAACACCTAATAACTACTATAATACATCATTACTCAAATTTAAGGCCAATAACGTAATGTTGTAATAAATTCTAAAATTTTTTAATTTATAACATCATACTTTTTGAGCTACCATAAATTATGATAAAATTATATAACAAAATTTTTAAATAATACTTACTTGGAATATAAGGTCAGATTTTGAATAATACTTACTTGGAATATTTTTTCCACTTTGTCAGAAGCTAAAAATGCACACTTACTCACTTGTGATTTCATTTTGAAAGTGTATTTGACTACTCAGTTTTCCTATGAGATAATACAATTTTTCCATCACACAATGAACTGTTTTGACACAATAAACAAAATATGAAACACGGTTGTCTTTTTACCGCGTCGAGTACAAGTGTTTGAAAATGCAAGAGACGTGACTTTGTGTGTGTCGCGTCCACTACCCATTAAATGCAACACTCAATTTAATGGAGGAGATGTTTAAAAATACAAGGGACGCGTTGTCAATCATATCGCGTCTTAACTCGGTTGTACATATACTGCGTCGTTTTGCATTATAATATTAATACGATTGGCACTAAAATTATTTTTGTAAAAGACTAAAGTGGAGATCGTATTTTTTGTTAGGGACTAAAAATGATATTTACTCGTTAATTTATTTTAGTGGTGCACTGCGGTATCTGAAAGAGATGTTGATATAAACCTAATAAAGAATGTATCCATCCTATCGATTTCAATAAACTTTTCCAAGAGCATCTATCTGAAAGATGATAATTTTATAAGATAACATTATATAATTATAGGGTTTTATAATTATCAAGTTATATGAGAATTCAAATCTCAAAAAATATGTGAGACTCATATGTTAGAAAAAATTATATGTAAAATTTATGTTAGTATGAAAATCAAAAGATGTGTAGAAAGATTTCAATTCTCGTGTTGAATGAGAATTATAAAATCTATAATTATAGTACTGAAATGAATTATTTTTCACCATTCAATATTTTATTGTTTCAGGTACTGTTCAATTACCTATGTTTTAATGAATCATACTAACTGCTTCATTGTGTTTTGATTTTTTTATTCTTGAAATTATTTTGTAGAATAATTATGAAAATATATGTTTTCTGTATTTTTTATTTTGAAAATTAAAAGTCAAAACATAAAATAAAAAAAATAGTTAAATTATTCAATTTTTTTTACAAAACAAGTCTTAATAAACGGGTTTTTTTTATTCTGAAAACCAAAAACTATTTTAAAAAACAGTATTCAAACAGTGGCAAAATCTTCCAATGCTTTTCTTTTTTCTTAAAAACCAAAAGTAAAAGCATGTTTGAATTTTGTTTTTAAAACCAATTTATAATTTTCAAAACAAAAAAAATAAAAAAAACCTGTTTTATTAAAAGTGATTCTAAAAATTATAACTATTTCTTGATTTTTAGAATCAAATTTAGAGAACATAACTTAGTTGTTTTTATTTTATATTTTAAAATAAATAAATAAAACACAGAAAACACATTTCATTAACTATTCTACACAACAGTTTTAAAAATAAAAAAATAAAAAAAACAAAACACAATCACACAGGGCATTCATTTTCTTTCATTTCTGGTTTAATATTAGCGAAGTCACTTCAACAATTTTGACATCGCCTCGGAACAGCTATTATTTATGCAATTTGTAATTTACATCATGCTTCCCAAGGTTGGATAGCGTCAATCTTATCCCAATTGTGGTAGAAATTTTTTATATATGGGTAACATTATTAATTAGTTACATTTTAAAATTAATTGAGTTAACGTGTATCTTTGTATTTTGCTTCCCAAGAATGAATTAGGTTTTTGATATGATAGTTGAACCCAATAACACGCCAATTAAACGAAAGTTTTTATTTTAGTCAGAGAGTCCATGGCAAGGCGACCATCAGCAATAGAGTAAGCAATAGCAACCGCAATAAGTGATTCTGATACGAATAAAGAGTGAAAATTTTGAGTGAAAATTGTTAAATAACAAGAGAAAAGAGAGGAACATTTGAAATAATACTATATGTATTGACTGATAAAGGCTGTATAATATATAAACAGACTAATGAGCTAAGCTCAAACCTAATGTAATCTGACTTAATATAAAATAAGGAAACCCTAATTACAATATATTTCTAACACTCCCCCTAAGCTGGAGCGTATAGGTCATATGCACCAAGTTTGTTACATATAAACTCTATTCGAGGACCCCTCAAAGATTTTGTAAACACATCTGTTAATTGATCTGGCAACTACGTTTTGTTTCTTACTTTTCCAGGAAATCAAGTTGCCTCCAACAAAGACACAATACCCAGAAGTAGATCTCCTATCAGTTGAACAACCAGCCCAATCAACATCACAGTACCCAACCACTTTATCATGACCTTTATCTTCATATTCAAGGCATTTCCCTGGAGATGTCTTGATATACTTAAGAATATGAATGACTGCATTCCAATGTTCTTGACATGGAGAATTGAGAAATTGACTGACAACACTAACTGCAAAGGAAATATCAGGCCGAGTGACTGTAAGGTAGTTCAATTTTCCAACCAATCTTATATACTGCTCAGGATCTGAAAAGGGCTCCCCTGATTTGGTAGAAGCTTGATACTTGGATCCATAGGAGTATCAACAGACTTTGAATTTAACAGAGCAGTTTCTTCAAGAATATCCAGAGCATATTTCCTTTAAGATATCACAACACCAGCTTTAGATTGGGCCACCTCGATTCCTAAGAAGTATCAAAGTTTTCCAAGATCCTTAGTCTGAAAATGATGACATAAGTGTTGTTTCAATCGAGTGATCCCATGCTGATCACTGCCTGTGATGACAATATCATCCACATATACCACCAGATAAATAGATCCAGAAACAGAATAACGATAAAAGAGAGAATAATTAGCTGCACTCTGAGTCATGCCAAATTGTTGAACAACACTGCTAAATTTACCAAACCAAGCTCTTGGAGATTGTTTGAGGCCATAGAGAGACTTACGAAGACGACAAACAAGACCTGACTCCCCCTGAGCAACAAATCCAGGAGGTTGCTCCATATAAATTTCTTCCTCAAGATCACCATGAAGAAAAGCATTCTTGATATCCAGTTGGTAGAGAGGCCAATGGCTAATAGCAGACATGGCAATAAAAAGGCGAATAGTAGACATTTTCGCCACAGGAGAAAAAGTATCAATAAAATCCAAGCCAAAGACCTGAGTGAAACCCTTCGCCACCAAGCGAGCTTTAAGACGATCCACTTGACCATCAGGTCCAACCTTAACAGCATAAATCCATTTGCAACCAACCACAGATTTTCCAGAAGAAAGAGGCACCAGGTCCCGTGTGCCATTATCATGAAGAGCACTCATTTCATCAATCATAGCTTGTCTCCATCCCGAATGTGAAAGTGCATCACTTGTGGCCTTAGGAACAGATACAGAGGACAAAGAGGAAAGACAAGCAAAATATGACGGAGAAAGACGATGATAACTAATATTGACTGTATACCTGGCCGGAGGGCGAGTATCACGAGTACCCTTACGAAGAGTAATGTGAAGGTCACTATCCGAAGGTGGGACCGAAGCCGTGGGAGGAGATGCAGTTGAATGTGAGTCCACAGATACATCTGACGAACTATGCTCGATCTCATCAGCAGAA